AGTCTCACTTTGTCACCCTGGATAGAGTGCTGTGGTGTCATAGCTCACAGCAACCTCAGTCTCTGGGGCTCAAGTGATCCTCTTGCCTCAGCCTCCCGAGTAGCTGGGATTACAGGCCCCTACCATAATGCCCAGCTATTTTTAGTAGAGATAAGGTCTTGCTCTTGCTCAGGCTGGTCTCAAACTCTGGAGCTCAAGCAATCTAGCTGCCTCAGCCTCCCAGAGTGCTAGGATTATAGGTGTGAGCCACTGCCCCTGGCCTAGTTCCAGTTTTTAATCAGGAGGACTATATACTAGTAATGGTTAGGCAATAGATCTTATCTTTAAAACACTTCTATGTAAAAAGCATTGCCTGGTTTAGAGAGCACAGCTATACCTCTGTTTTATTATCTTTGGTGACATGAAAGGCAAAAATTTAGACTGTATTTTTGCATGTTATGAATGTGTTCATAAATCCTCTTATTGGTGCCCCCAACAGCTGATTTCATGGATAATATGAAAAGTTATAATGCATTCAAGGAACAGAAGGAAGAATAACTTCTCTGTCTAACCTGTACAGTGACAGCCTTCTGACTGTGAACTTCAGAAGTGCTTTTAGGCTGTCAGTAACTGAGTAGGCCCTCCTTGGCCTTCTACCAAAACTGGAACAGAAGAGAACCTTGCCTTTTTTTTTTTTCTGTATATAGAACAGAAATTAGATATAATTCCTGAAGTAGAAGGGCCTAGTTAAATCGGAAGGCTATTTTGATGACTGGAGATAAGAAGTTCACTGTGGTTCGGATATTAAGTTGTCTGACACACACACACAGAAGCCTGTGGATCATTAATACATTTTAGGCCTTTGTTAAATATCTAGTCTTAAGAGTTAGAGGTAATTGTGCAGGAATTGTCACAAAATAAGATTTCTTATTTGATTTACATGAAAGTATACACAATCAGACAAAACCAGGGTACCTGAGAGTTGGTTCCCTGCTGGGTGTTGCTAAGCTTTGATTTCTGGGATTCTGGAAAAGTGAAGGTCACCAGGCCTCTCAGGCCACAGCAAGGGGAAGAGGGAAAATGTGCAGACAGGAGTCTGGTCTCTCTGCTTAACTCTGGGTCTTCACAGTGGAGCAAATAATACTCGGCCCTAATTAGACATGATGTAAACACTGGGAAATGTCCAAGTAAGGTGCTGAGAAAAGCATGTTTGATAAACATGAGCTTTCAGCGTTTTATTCTTTGGAGGGGGAAGACAGCTAAACACAGCTTACACTAACACGGCTTTCATCATTCAACAAACCTGAAAGTGTTTATAGATATTTCCCAGAACAACGTGGAAAAAAAATCCCAGGACTAGCCAGATTCCTAATTTTATGACCAAGCCCCAAGAAACGAAACGCCATCACTGACCTTGTTGGAGTCGCTGGTCCTCTCTGTGGCTCTTCCCTCAGCTGCTTCTTTCTCTTCTTTCTCCTGAAGGTTTTCGTTCTCATCCAGGAGCTTAACAGGGACAGGCGGTGGGGCCTCCTCTTCTGGGTCGCAGGAATTGCCAAGAATACTCTCTGCGTTAACACTTTGGCGACATTTCTTGTTTCTGTCCACGGAGGCATATTCAGCAAACTCCGCTTTGCCCTCTGTTTGGGGTCCCGGAAGCTCTTTCAAAGCAGAAGGAGACTTGGACTTGCCCGTGTGGCCTTTGTCCAGGTGTGTGGCTGCAGCCACCTCCTTAATTTCTTTCACAGTCTCATACAAGCAGTCCTCCACCATATTTTCTTGGGAGGAACTATCCTTGAGCACCTCATACGGCCCTTCCATCCCCAGCCCCTGGTCCCCGTCCACACTTCTCGCGGTGAGCATGGTGTTCACTGCGCTCTCGGGAGGAATGCTGGGCAGCTCCCGGCTCTGGTGGCATTTTGGTTTCCCTGTGCTGTCCTGGGAGTCTAGAAGATCCGAAGCCGAGGTCTGCACTTCCTCGTAATGTTGCATGCAGGTCACAGTACTGTCTTCTGAAAGAACTAAAGCAGCAGAAGTGTCAGAAGTGCAGAGGGCCAGGTCCTCCAATAATCATTACAGGGAATCGGATAACGGAAAGTTGGGTTGAATCTAGATGCCTGCTTTTTATTAGATTCTCAGCTGCAAAGGATACAACAGATATTACGACTATCTGGTGATACGCTTTCAATCTTGGTTTAAACTAAAGTCATCTACAGATCTTTACTAACACGGGATTTAATAGATTATCTGGGCTACAAGTGTGGTTCGCAGCTACTGTCCTTAGTTATTGTTACATCTGATCAGACTCAGGCAGAGGGCCAATGGGACCAGAGGATGAGAGTGGTATTCAATGGGGCCAAACTGTGGGGGCTGGACACCAGAAAGGGAACATGTGTGGTGGCCACTCTCGCTGGCCCATGCCTATGTGGAGAGAATTATTAGGAGCCACCCCCAAAGGTCCCTTACTTGGCAGACAAAATGGAACCAACAGGGCAAAAACGTACCCTTACAGAATTTCACAAAGGGATCGGTAGTGCCCCATGTGTTTCTTCAATTTCTCTGCCCCAACATCCCTATCTCAAATTAGAAAATCTAAATATGAACTTCTTGGACTGCCACAGAAACGACACTGTGTGAAGCGACTCAGTTGTCCCTTTACCAAGGATGTTTGGAGCGTCTACTACATGCAGGGATGGTTCAAGGTGCTGGGGATACACCATTCAACAAAGCAGAGAGCCCTGCTCTTGGGGTGCTACACGATGGTAAGTTATTAAGTTAGTGTCTCACTTTGGGTTAGAAATAGTGTCCATATCACTTACACACACACACACACACACACATACATATACATGCATGCCTGACATCTGACAATTAAGTTCATGAACTCATCCTAGAGAAAGTGCTATGTATCTCATTGCTAAATATTGCTATGGTCACCTTTGAAGGACCTCCTCTGGGAAGTGATGCACCAACGCCAGTGTCTAGTCTACCCTTCACAGCAATTTTGGAACTCTTTCTCTGGAATGGCCATCAAAGCTGTCATCATACAGCCACAAAAGCATGCAGCAATAATGAACACCACTCAGCAAGACACGGCCACACATGGACATGAATGCAGCTGAGACACTGTAAGGCACTGATCACCCCCAAAGATAGCCACATCTAAATCTCTAGAACCTGTGACCCTATTATGTTAGGGGGTGGGGGAAGATTGAGGTTACAGGTGGAATTAAGGCTGCTAATTAGCTAACTCTGAGATGAGAGACTCTCCTGGATGGTCCAGACGGGCCCATGTAATTGCTGGGGTCCTTCTAAGTGAAAGATGGGGGCAGAAGGGTCAAAGGTGGGGTGTGAAGGAGGCAGAGCCAAGGAATGCTGTGGCTTCTAGAAGCTGAAAAGGGAGGGGAAAAGGCTTGTCCCAGAGAGGGTCCCGAAACACTGCCCTCCTGATTACGCTGATTTTAGCCGGGTGACACTCATTTGAGACTTCTGACCTCCAGAAGCTTAAGTTGAAACATTTTTTTGTTTTAAGGCAGTAAGTTTGTGGTAATTTGTTAACAGGCACAATGTGCTAGTTTCCTCACCTTTAAATTGTTTAATTACCATCTGGTAAATTAGTAATACCATCTGGTAGGGTAATACCAGTAGTAATACCATCTGGTAGGGTAATAATAACACTACTATTAAGAAGAGTAATCTTAAAGGAAAAAAGAATAGTAATCTTACAGGGTCAAAGCAAGTGAGTTAGCACATACACAAATCTTAGAGCAATGCCTGGCACACAGAAGCCACTTAAAAAGCAGTAGATATTATTCACCCAAATGAGATTTTTTTTGCTAAACCTGGTAGTAATACTTAAAAGTGATCAAGGACACATTTCCTCCTTTTTCAGCTGCATATTTTGAAACCTAGCACTTTCATAGCTGATGAGGCCTGTGTGGAAAGGGGGCATTTTACAGAACTTACTGTCCCCATTGGTGAGCGCCCCGTTCTGTTCGCTGCTGGCAGGAGCATCTGTGGCCAGGCTGGTAACTGAATGGCTGAACATCTCCTTGTCTGAAGGCTGCAAAAAACCCAAACACATCACATTGCTAAGAATCTAAACTCCAGGGTGGAGAAGAATATCCTTTTTAAAAAAAAAAAAAAAATTAAAATAGTAAAAACAAAAACAGAATCCACTGGAGTAGGCTCCACCCTTACCCACAGAGAATGGGTTCCAAGGCCTCCAGGGGAAGCCTGGAACTGCAGGCAAGACCAAACTCTGTCTGTACTGTGCCTTTTCCTGCATAAGCACTTGCGTGATGACATCTGTTGTAAATTAGGTGCAGTAAGATGAACGAGAACTAATAACACAGCAGAACAACTCTAAGAATATATTACGCTAAAAGTTACGTGAATGTGCCCTCTGCTGTCCCTGAAAATATGTTATTTGTATTTGCCTATTTTTAGACCATGGTTGACCCTGGGTAATTGAAACCACAGAAATCAAAACCACAGATAAAGGGGGAACTACTGTTTTTAGATTTAAATCAAGTAAAATTAAATTAAATTAAATTAAGTTCTCCTGCTGACCAGTCACATTGTAGTGACCTGTATCCAGTGGGTACGGCATATGACAGTACAGAATCCTAGTGGGATCGGCCACCTGTGCTGCTCCCGCCTGTGATCTACAAATGGGCTATAGGTAGGTTGTGAGATGTCCGTCCTGGTAGCTCAAGGCAGGGAGGGGACCAGATGTCCCCATGCTGGTTAACATGGACCCCTCCTTGCCTTTGTAACACAGGTGCTGTAAAACATTATTCTCAAAGATGAGCCATGCCATGAAAAACAGGGACACAAAGCAGCACCCCTTGTCACTGGAAGGGAAAAGACTTAAATCTGGTCAAGATCGATAATGTTATTGATTTCTGAAGCTCTTTCAGAATCAGCCAATGCCCTGGCTTTAATCTTCAGAAAAACAATCTCACGCCAAATAGCAGCTCTATGAACCTTTCTCATTCTCACAACAAATTTAGGACACGGGAAGAATGGCCCCAGCACAGCCAGCTTGTTTCCTGCTGAGACAGAATGTTTAGATGTCACCTGAACACGTGCTAGGCTGGCCTACAGCTAAGAGTATTCAGAAAGCAAGTCGGGAGCTTATGTGTGTCTTCAAATACCCAGACTGCTGCCTGAATTCCTTGCAAATATGATTTGTTCTCATCCTTTCTATGGCCTGCGTGACCCAAGTGGTTACCCCAGGCTTTCATGTGGAAAGTTCTGTTGTGAACAGCACAAGAACCTTGGTTTGTGTCAGGCTGCCAGAACCCTGAGATGAAGATGCGTGTCCTGTCCCACCTGACTTCCCATAAGTTGGAAATGATGGCTAGAATTGGGCAGGAATTGGGTAGGTGTGGAAGAAGAAATCCCTAACCTGGGCTCATAACAGCACAGTATAGGTAGGTTCCAGCTGCCATTTCTAGTCTTACCTTCTATAACATGGAGAATCTGCAAGTTATACGAGATTTGGGAGCTGGAAAGCTCGTAAGGAGGGCTGGGTGGGCAAATGTGCGCTCATGTCCTTGTGTGTGCTCTCAGACACACATGAGCATGTATGTGAGGCCTCAGGCAGGTACTAATTCATTATATGGCAGACGAGAAAGAAGGGGCAGAGAGCCAGCCTTTTCCTCTTCCCCACTGGCTATGCTCTTCCTGTCTCACCCAGGCCTGCTGCTGACCCTCAGCAGAGCTGCAGGAAGGGAAGGTCAAAGGTTGGGAGTGGCTCTCACACTTGCATTGCATCAGGATCACCTGGAGGGCCTGGTGAGATTCCCTGGGCCCCACCCTGGGGAGAATCCTCCCCTGGAACAAGCTCCCAGGTGCTGCTGCTGTGGAAGGAAGCCAGGACGGAGGAGGATGGCCTTTCAGCCCCATCTCACTGCCCAGCTGGCACAGGGAGAGAGGTGGGTGAGGAAAAATGGGGCCTGGAACTGTGCAGGGGAGAAGCAGCAGAGAGGACCTCCTCATGCTGCCACCATCCTCCCAAGGACACCACGGCGGCAGTCATTGGGGCTGAGCAGAGGTACCTGGAACACAGGAGAAGTGGGGATGATGTGGATAACCAAAGAGGGAATGGGGAGAGAAAAGGGGTGAAGGCAGTAGTTGCAGGCCCGGGAGAGCTGTGGACAGGTGAGCTGGGTGGCTGGCTTAGCACATGCTGAGAGGAAGGGAAGGGCAGCCTTGGAGGTGCCTCAGGAGGCACAGAAAGCCTGATAACTCCAACCAGAGTCTGCTGAATTCACAGCTCAGGCAGCCTCCAGCCTCATCTGGAGGTGCCTCCCAGGGGAACCCCCAATGGGTCTGCGGGCTGTTTTATACCAGACACCAGGTATACTTGACTCACTCTCCCTTCTTTTTTTCACACACTCCTCTGCCTAACGGTTTTTGCCTGACCTTGGGAAATCATGTCCTGCACAGGAAATCTCTCTTATTCTACCACTGCCACAGGGCTCAGGCCGGGCTCTGAACCCAGCCCTGTGACTATGTGGGGAGGAGAGGGAGCCCATCCCCAGCTGCTGGAATTGCTCAGCCATGTAAGGTCCTGACCCTGAGCCAGGGGACAAAGCTGGACCTGGCACTCTCAGGCTGTTCCTCACAAGGGTGGATCCTCAGGGCCTCGATGAGGATCATTAGGACTTATAAAATGCTGAAGGCCGAGAAAGCTCCTGCAAGTCCAGGCTTTATCTAAGGTCCCAGGCTCTGGCTAGCTTAAAGACCTGTTGTTACAAGTTGAACAGCATTGCCCCCAAATCCTACATCAAAGTCCTAACCTCCAGGACCTCAGACTGTGACCTGATTTGGAAATAGAGTCACGGCAGATGACACTAGTTAAGATGAGGTCACCCTAGAATAGGGAGGCCCTAGTCCTACATGTCTGGTGTCTTTGTAACAGGAAAGATGGACAGAGACAGAAACGCAAGGAGGGAAGACGATGGGAAAGATGGAGAGAGACACTGTGAAGGTGAAGGCAGTGGCTGGGGCGATGCACCTGCAGACCAATGAAAGCCACAGCCGGCCAGCATGTCCCAGAAGAGGGGCCTGGAACAGAGCTGCCTTCAGGTGGAACCAGCCCTGCCAATACCTTGGGTTTTTTTGACTTCTGCCCTCTAGAACTGAGAGACTGTATATACGCTATTTAAACCAGTTTGTGGCCCCTTGTTATGACTCTAGCAAATGAAAACACCAGCCCGAGCTGGGAAGAGGCAAAAAAGAAACATCCCTGCTGTAGGCTGGAGCATCTGAGGATCATTCTGGCAGCTGTGCAGCTGCATCCATGTCAGAAACTCTCCCAACAAAACAGCTAACAGCTCGGGCCTTGAGCCATAGTGACCATAAACCTACAGAAAGGTCACAGTCCAGGCCATCAGTTCTCCCCCTGCGTTTCACTCAGCTCAGCAGTGCGTGGGAGCAGGCTTAGAGACCGGGGTGATGTTTCAGGGTGTGCACACGGACAGACACACACACGTGGGCTCACCACGTTCATCAGGTTCTCATGGTCCCCGCTGTGCGGTCGCGGCTTCTTCTCCCTGAAATGAAAAACAAAACGTTGTTGTCATGTCAAACGTGCCCTCTAAAATAAAAAAAAGAAAAAAAAAAAACTATCCTAAATCTTCCCAACATTTAAATCTCCCTTATTTTAGGAACCATAATTTTCAAAAGAGAAAAAAACTAGACAGTTTCTTGACATCTGTCCTTGGGTGTTCGGGCCAAAAGGTGGTCAAGCCACAGAGGGGACTGCTCACCTGTCCTGAGCATCCTTTCTTCCAGGAATAGAAAATGCAAGCTGAAAACGAGAGACCAAGGCAGGGTCCTGTGTAGATGCTCTTTATACCCAGAAGACTAGCATGAGTTATACCATTTTTTTCTTTAGAAAACCCAGACAATTATCTCATCTCACTTAGAGCCTTTGCAAAGTCACACACTACCGAGGGATGGGGAAAATAAAATACAAACTTTGGCACGCCGGGAAGGGTACATGCTCTGAGGATGAGTCATATGTACTTCCAGTCTATGGAAAAGTCTGTCAAGTAAAAATAGACTGTGCTTTTACTCAGGACAGTCTAAAAGAAAGTCATCAGTTGTAGGAAATACGAGGCCCACCCAGGCACCACATGAAGCAAGAGTGACACCTAGTGGGGGCATCAGTAACTACAGCAGCGGCTCACCCAAGGCAGCCCCTGCTCTTCCTGGCCACTCAGACTGTTCAGGCACCCAGGCCTGGGTCCAAGCTGGGTTTGGGGTTGGAGATTCTGGCTTTTCCACTCCTGAAAGATTCTAGGGTGGGAAGCCATACCAGACTTTTAATTGACACTCCTGGAATTTCCTCCATGATTGAGAGGGGTTGGGACCTGGGAGGGCCCAAACTTCTGGCCCATTCCCCCAGAAGGCTGCAGGCTTTGTGACAGTTCCTGAATGTCTTGAAAAATCACTCCTCATTAGAAAGGGCTTTAATTCTGAGTGAAGATTTCTTTTTTGGGGTACTGACATTTGATATGTGATAAAAGAGAGAGATAAAAGTATAATCCTAAGAAAGATACAGACGATTGTTTCCCACATAGCATGTCTCTTTCCTAGGAAAACTAATCTGTTTTGGAAGAAACTGCAATTCTGCAATATAAATCTTCAATAGTAAACAATGCCCCTGAAGCCACTTAAACAGCAAAAATTCTCAATAATTTTCAAGTGGCAGTAAAAAGATGTACCTTACACTTAGATTTTGGCATGTCCACAGAAGGAAAATGACAATACCAGTTTTGACAACATTTGTCAAGAGAACAGTAAGAATTCCATTCTGGGAAGTTTAAAATATGTGGGCTCTTACAGTTGTTTCCCAGAGAGATCAAATACAGACTTTCATTCAATGAATAAAGAAAGTCCTGGGACCCTTTGCAGCACAGAGAAAAGTTCGTCTTAAAGTCTGAGTTTCTGTGACTGGTTATGCAGGCTTCCTGTCTACAGGGAATATGTTATTTCAAGGTTCCGGTAGACAGGCTCTTACCTCTCACAACTGGAGCACAGGAAGATGAGGAGGGTGATGAGGAAGAAAGTGGCAACAGCCAACAAACTTCCCCACAGGATGATCTGCATCTGTGCCCCGCTCAGTGCGCTCCCTGCGGGTCCCATTGTGGCAGGAACTGGCACAGCTGCTGGAAGAAGTCAGTCCTTCAAAGGTGGTGACATGGGGATGCCGAGGGCTATCCTCCTGCAGAGAGATCAACATGTCGGGAAAGTGCTTCTTGTGCGAAGTGGCAGCTTCTTACAGTTAGGTTCCTTTGGGGAGTAAGGCCTTTGGCAAAGTCAGGGAAGTGAGCACAGAATGCGGGAGACAGTGAGATGTGAAACCCGATTCTGGGCAAGCCCCTCCCATGGGCGAGGCCTCTATTCTCTGGCTTTTCCAGTGTTTGAACAATAGATGTCTTATTTTGGTATGTTTGGGGTATAGATTCTTTTTTTTTTGAGACAGAGCCTCAAGTTATCCCCCTGGGTAGAGTACTGTGGCATCACAGCTCACAGCAACCTCCAACTCCTGGGCTCAAGAGAGTCTCCTGCCTCTGCCTCCCAAGTAGCTGGGACCACAGGCACCTGCCACAACGCCTGGCTATTTTTTGGTTACAGCCATCATTGTTGTTTTTGGTGGGCCCAGGCTGGATTTGAACCCACCACCTTAGGTGTATGTGGCTGGTGCCTTAGCCACTCGAGCCACAGGCGCCGAGCCTGGGGTATAGATTCTTAACATCTTCAAATAAAGAGTCTAAGGAACACCACAGCAGATACATACATGTTTATTAAGATTCTTTTTTAAAGCCAGAACAATACAAGCAATATTGATACAGCTTTTACAAATATGTAACTCATCATCTGTTCCTGTCCTGTCATCTCTTATCTTCGCAGCTGCCCAAACCCACTGTTCTCTGAGCAGGATTAAGGTCAATACACCTAATGAAACTATGTCTTCATATTCACATGCAAACCCAGTTATCTATTTTGAGGACGTGACTTTATTTTCAGGATTGGTCCTCACTGGGCTGCTGTGAGCCCCAAATCGATTCATTTTCAAATGAATGGATGCGAGTATGCACTAAAGATACAGCCCCAGCAATAGACAAGCCCTATTCATAAACAACTACAAGTTACCCATAAAAGCTTTACCTAGTACATCTTAGCACCTGGCATGTACCAGGGACTCTGCTAAATGCTTTCCTCATTTTATCACCATCACCACCCTGTGTAGGAGGCACTGTTAATCTCTGTTTCACAGAGAAGGCAGCTAAATCCTAACAGAGAGGTAAATTCCAAGTGTCAGAGGAGCTAAGTGGTAGGGTGGGCTGAGCCCAGCTGTCTCTGACTCTTAGTGCCTTAAGGAAGCTCTTCCTCACTGGGGGGTGGGGTGGGGGCGCACTGGGACCCAAGGAGCTACTGCCTTGGTTCTAGTATAATACTTGGGAATGGAAATGGCCAGATTTCTTTTGCTAAATGTTAAGAATCGTAGAGCAGTATATCAAATTAATAATCACCTATCATGGGAGAGGCCTTGTTGAAAGAACAGTTGCTTTACTCAATCTAGAGCATTCAACATGAAAAGTAACAGCCTTTAACTTAATCTCAAGTGTCATGAATAAAGTGAATAAATATTTTTGTCTTATGATAATGACACAGTATTTTTCTTGAAAAAGACGGCCAAGGTTTACATTTTCATTTGCTTCACCCACAGAGCTGTAACTATATCCAGCCGTCAGTGGGCGCTAACATCAGGGCCACTGAGAGTGGCTCAGGGTAAGCCAGAGTGTACCCTGAAAAGGAGAAAATAGGAGCCCTTCCTGTTCAACAGAGGCAGTTAAACTGGAGAGAACCATCTCCATGTGAAACATTACCACATTTATTTGAAAATTCCAAGTTGGAGAATAAAAAGCTTGGAAAAAAGAGAAACTTTTATCTCCAATGTATGCAGAGAGAATTCCGAGATGAAGGTGATAACTGTCCTCAGTCTTTGAATAACACAAACATCTCTTCTAATAATGCAATATAATTACATAAAACTCCCTGTATGATATATGAGGTCAGACAATTAAGTTCTCGAACTCATTCTAGAAAAAGTGCTACAGATACCTCACTGCTGACCATCACTACAATCACCTTCATAGCTCCTCTTGGGAAGCTATGCACAGACTCCAGCACCTACTCTTTCCTTCAAAACAATTTTGGAAATTTTTTTGGAATGACTATCAGAGCTGTCATCTTATGGCACACAAAAACATGCAACAACGATAATGAACACCACTCAGCAAGACACTGCCATATGTTGACATGTACACAACTGTGAAACCCTGATATTCCAAGGTTATGAAACCTTGCAGAGTTGTTTGTACAGTGCTGCTAACTTAAGTACATGGTGGCAAGTTTGTGAACTTAATTGTTCAGACCTCATATGACGACAGCTCTGATGATCATTTTGGAAAAAGAACTCCAAAATTGCTTTGAAGGGGGTGGATGAGGGGCTGGTGTTGACCAGTATCCCCAGGGAAGTGCCTCAAAGGTGACCATAGTGATATTTAGCAATAAGGTATAAGGTACGTGGTGCTTTTTCTAGGACAAGTTCATGAACTTGTTAGCCTTTGTAAGACCTCTTCCTCCTCTGTTCGGTTATATGCTATGCTTGTAAACACTACAGGCATACAGTAGTAAACAGTCAAATTACTTTTGTGTCTTTGCTTCTGGAGAGCTATACCTGAATGAAAATAACCATCTCCCATGATTTGTGGATGCAAAGAATAATTTCCTTTAAATTGAGACTAAAATTGGCACCATAGTAGGCTTTTTATATACATTCAACCACGCACTTAAATCATAGTCACTGATGAAAAATATATAAAAATATATAAAATACAATTTTATGTAAGGGTCCAAAGCATAAAACATTTAAAGAAGCACAGAGAAAAAGTTGTCTATCTCTTGAGCACTCATTCCTTCCTTCACTCATTCGTTCACACAGGTTAACCGATGCCTATTTATTTATAAAGTGCCAGGTTCTTAGAAAATAGTTTGTCATGGGAGTTATTCAGGAGCCAGAGACCATCCAGCAAGCCTAGCTTGGGATCTACTGTGCCCTTCTCCATTTCTGCAGGTTTCTTTTTCTTCTCTCTCTCCCTAACAGGATGCCAGTGAGAATCCAGAGATACGTGGGGTGCCCAGCCTATCAGGACAGTGCAGGGAGAAAGAGGATGAAAGGGGATTATTATAAGCTACTGAATAAAGGATGGAACTCAGAGGAAATGTGTCAAAACTCTCCGCTCACTCCCCTCCCATTAGAATTTTCTGAAAAGCCACTGAAAGCCTTTTCCTAAAGTTCTCACCGTGGAGAAAAATTTCATGATGAACAGAATGATCACCATCTGGATCCTGTGGGGCACATTTCTGAGTCACATACACTGGAGTCAGTTGGATAAGGGCTCCTATCTCTCAAACCCTCTAAGTGCCACCTCTGCAGGAGGACTGTGGTGACACCAGTTGCAGTGGTGGTGGGCAGCGCTGGCAGGTCGAGTGGTTGCAGAAGCAGCTACTACTGAGCAGATCACTTTTGGGGGGCTGGCGGGGTGTGTGGGGAAACCCGCACACACATCATGACCTCTGATGCTCACGGCAGGCCCCTGGCTGGGATTTACTCCAGTTTAGAGATGCTCTGAGGCCCGCTACTCTTCTCTCCTGGTCTCCTCCTTGTATTCTGAACTTCTCTTTCCACAACTCTGCCACCCATCCTTCTCTGGCTATCTTCTTACATTTTGGAAGTCCGTCTACAATTGAGCTGAGACTGCGTCCCCCTCCCCACCTCCTGGCCACCTGTGTATAGACCACCCCTCCCCTAGGTGTGCAGATTCACACGCACGACTTGGTGCTCTATCTTCCTAGGGGGCCTGAAGGTGAAGGCCTCTATGGATGGTGCAGGGCTTTCCTGCCAAGGCTGGGTCTTCATGCATTGGTTTTATTGACCTTGAAATACAACAGTTAGGGGTCCCCATTTCGTCTGAGTAGGGAGTGTGGTGCCAGTGTCTTGTCCTGCGGTGGGAAGGTTTTACTCAGGATTAGTGATGGGGGGAAAGAATAAAAGGAGTTGAGGCAAAATGTCTAGCAATAAAAAGGCACCCTGAAAAAAATGGCCTGATGCAACCAGGGAATTTTCCAGAACATACACTGTCCCAACCAGGCTCCCTGTGGAAAAGTCACCCAGGGCTACCCTTTCCGCTGACACTGTTACTGGCCCAGGAGGACCACCTCATTTCTTGCTAATTCTTATACCAATTAAGATACATTCTCACTATTCGTAATCATCTCTACCAGCAGAAATACCTGAACATTTTGGGAGAGCATCTCCCATATTTTTTTGGTAGAGATAAAATTGAAGCCTATTTCCTTCAATCCTCTTCTTGCCTGATTCCATAAACTTGCATTTGACTCCAGGATTTTATTTCTTCAGAATTAAAACCTGGAAGCAAACAAGTTGTTGTTCAGTAGGTGAGTGGCTAAGTAAACTGGTACTTCCAGGCAAGGGAGTATTTTAATGAACAAGGAATTAATCAGAAAAACCTGCCTTTTACTTGAGCAGCAGGTGCCACTTTTAACCACAAGATGGCAGCAGCGTCCTATTCTCGACCCTGATTAGCCGACTCCTTGGGGAGAGATGCTCAATTATTCTTGTTGCTTATACCTCAGGCTTGGCATTTTAATTATCTTCATTAGCCTGGACTATCAGCTGCCAAGATCAATTCCAACAGCAAAGAAAATAAAACCCAGATGAAATGAATGCACAGTGTAGATAAAATGGCAGCTATTTATTTCTTTGGCCAAACACTTTCAACAGGTAGGCGCTCTGATGATAGCAAATTCTTTAAATAATAATTTGGTGGAGCTGGGATGACCAGTGAGGTCAGCTACAGGAGCAGATACTTTGTAGTTGCTGAGAAGCAGGATCAGGTCCGCAATTACAGTCATGGCCATTTTACAGCTGCTGTGGCCAACTCATCATCAGGCGAGACGGAAACCAGCTCCACCCGTGACCTCTCCCTGTGGGTGGAGTAAGGAAGCGAAGGGCCCCAGCCACGCGGGCACCCCTCCTGCCTCACCACTGTCGGGTGTGGGAGCCACGTGGTAAAAATGACACTTCTGGGCTACAAATTTAACAATGACCAGCGGGGCAAATTTTTCATTCTG